AGGGAAATGCAAATTAAAAACACTTTAAATTTCATCTTACTCCAGTCGGACTGGTTAAGATCAAGAAAACAAATGATACCAAATGTTGGAGGGGATGTGGGGAAAGGGGAACACTCATCCACTGGTGGTGGGGCTGCAAACTGGTTCAGCCCCTATGGAAAGCAGTGTGGAGAACTCTTAAAACACTACAAATGAACCTACCATTTGACCCAGTTATACCACTCCTTGGCATATACCCAAAGAACTCATCCTGTTGCAGAGACACATGTACATCCATGTTTGTTGCTGCTCTTTTCACAATAGCTAAGAGATTGAAGCAACCTAAGTGTCCCTCAACTGACGAGTGGATAATGAAAATGTGGTTCATTTATACGATGGAGTTTTACTCAGCAGTAAAGAAAAGATTGCTTTTACAGAGATTATGAAAAGAATTCTTATTTCAATAAATAACAAAAAATAACATTGGTAGAAAAAGAAGAAAATCTGTGCCAAGCAGTTGGCAGCACTAACAAATAAACACAGGGAACATCTTCAATTTCATGTATAACCAACAAAGCAAAAAGAACAACGAGATTTCACACCAATAAACTTATGCAAAAATGAAATTTTCAATCACAATTTTTGAAGATAACAAATATTCTACTTATGGAAGAATATACAAAGTAGACAAAACACCCTCTATCTCATCTGAATTTTATATGTGCTGCTATTCATACACAGACACACACACATGTCCATGCATGAGTACAAACATGCACACAGATAACAGATGAAATTAGATGTGAATGCATGTATATGTATGCATACCTAAATTAAAATGAAGGAGTTAGACAAATATTGATAACTAATTTTAGTATTATAAATGTCTTTCTGGTACAATAGTATCATAAGAAAAAAACATTTGTTCATTCAAAGCATTAGTTGATGACTGATAATTTGGAACAGTTTTCTCCACTAACCATATTTGAACCCATATATAAAAAATGAAATCTAAAGCATATTTTCTCAAAGTTTACCTAGAAATGCTGCTCTGAACCCAGGTAAACATATTTTGGAGTCAAATAGGGTCCAGAGAACTTGACACCAAGTCATATAACCTTCAGAAAAGTAGAACACACAGCTCTCACTTTGTCATTTCAAAGACTGTTTGACATACACTACAATGATGCAATGAGTCTTCCGTGAAAGACAAAGGAAAGACCTGTTGTCTGGGGTCTTGTCACACTGTGTTGACATCACTGGGGACACCTATAGGGTACACATGCATAGCTTGTGGAGAAGGAACAAGCAGAAAAGTACTGGTAGGTTTCAGCCATGAGTTTAGTGTGTGGTACTGAGCATGTTTTCTAGCAGGACAAATCTAGAAGAGTGAGTAGCAAGCTGCAAAGCCTCAGAGAGGAAGAGACAAGGGGTCATTTTACAGAAGAGAGAGCACAGAGGGGAAGACGTGCTGCCAAGGCTACATCAGTCATGTACAGAAAGAGGTGCGTCGGCATCACATAGTGCAGGGAAGCCTCCTAACAAAGGGTGCAATTGAAGAGGAACTACAGAATCAGGTACTTGGGAGAGCAGGAGCTCAGGGCCTACTGAAGAGACAGAGGAACGATGCTATGCTGGCTGTCTGCAGAACTTGTAGCCTCTGATGAGTTCCAGCTACCTGCTGATGCACAGAACTCATGGATGTGTAGGGCATGAACAGAATGTTTTCTCCAGCTACCCCTCTTTGGGTGTTTAATGTGTGTACTGCTTCCAGCCCAAAGTTACCATATTACTTGACAGACAAGATTTAGGGTGGTAAAAGAGGGAAACAGTCTGGACTCATGTGTCCATTCTAATCTATCCAAAAGGAAATGTTCAAGGGAGAAGCAGTAAAAACTGACCCCTAGCTATCATCTGTTCACCTGTGCTACATATGAGATACGTGGAATGAGATGCATTCTGGTCCCTCTGAGGGAGGTCTGTCCTCAGCTGCTCTGTGACAATAACTCCTTCGCTTTGGGCTCTGTTCACAAGAACTGAGCCCCAGCCATTGGTACTGGGAGGTTCCTTTTCTCCTTTGAAGAAGTGATAAGTGGAATTTGAGTTTAGAGGAAAATAGTGTCTCTAAAGTATGTTCCACAGAACTGAGGGGATGCTGGGGGGCTCCTTGAGCTTGTTATCTATCATCTAAAGTGGTAAGAAAAATAATAAAATGTGGATCATACCCTCGAGGAGTCCTGATGACCACACGTCCTGAACTTGGAGGAATTTCACCATTCAACATTTTGAATGTGGTGCTCTTCCCAGCGCCATTCACCCCAAGGAGTCCAAAGCACTGAGAGCAAAAGGTGAAATTAGATAGAACGCATGACATATAATCAAGAGTATATTAGAAATGGCATTTGCTTTGACATTGAGTTGATGTTTTGATGTGCGAGGTTGGTACATTTTAACAGCATGCTACTGTATAAAGCATTTCATGTATACAAGGTGCTTTGAAAGTTATTGTGCCACTTGAGTATGAAAACGTTGGCATGTATGTAAAGAAAGGTAAATTCATGTTTGAGACACTGAAAAGAAGGAGCAACAAACCCAGTAACCCAAACTATGCAGCAGAAGTAGTCTCAGGAATCCACATCACTGAAGCAATTATTGTCCTTCTGGATTCAGTATTAAAGTACTTCTGAAAGATATTTCATCCTCCACTCTCAAATATATGAGAGATGGATGGATAGACAGGTAAGTACATCAATAACAGATACATTGACTGATCGATCACAATAAATGAAAAAGGAATTGATAAACAGATGATACAGAGATAGATAATAGATGATAAATTGGTAAATGACAGATGGCAGACTGTAGATCGTTCTGGTAACTATCTGCCTTCTTATCTAATGAAGAAGCTGTAAATTCAGTCTTTACTCAGAGCCTAGCCTGATCCTGACATTAACAAAGGAGATGACCTCGAGTTTTAGAACATGACAGTCAACTGATTTCTATTTCCATCCTGTCTCATATTTCATGTAAAAAAATGTCCTTCACCCACCATTTTTCTAGGTCTTCTATCTATTCATCTTGTACCTGCATGTAGAATGTGCCTGAAACGCCACTTAGAACACAATTTCCCTCCCAGACATATTTCTGATGTCTGGTTACTGATGTCTACTGACATAAACTGGCTAACTGGCTCCTTGGATTTGAGACCATGAGTGTTTCTGCATTTTTATCTCCCATATGCCCTGCCTATCACAAAACTCCATCGTGTGTCTCTGGACACCTTCAGTGCACTGAATCACCACATGCCTCAGTTAGGATTGTCTCACTATCCTAGTTAGGGTGCATAGCATTCCAGATCTGTCACATGTCATGCCTAGTAGGCTACCACACCTGATCTAAGATGCCTTATCCACCTATCCAAACCATCTCTCTGGTTCAATCCCCAGCCCTGCCTGTCATAAGTCTTTTGTTATCTGCTGTTGTATTTCCTTGGTATACCAGGTGTAAAGCAAATAAAACCTACTATTGTGCTTTCTTACCCAGTCCAGAATCAAAATAATACATGTGTTTATGATGTGTTTCCTACCTAAGTGGTGATTCTCAGAGGCAGGGGGACATATCTGTAATCTCTGTACTTTTCAAAAACTTTTCCCATCTTCCCATGCTTGTAAGGTAGTTCCCATCTAGGCAAATTGTGCTAGTCATAAAAGACCAGAGCAAAGATCATGGTAGAGTTTAGATCTTGAAAGTACCCAATGGCCTGTAAGCATGGCCATTGGTCAATGGAATCCCCCTTAGGAAGTGGGACCTCGTGGGACATTTTAGGTCAATGACCTTAAACTGTTGAAGAAGATCCTAGAACCTGGTCCCTCCTCTTCCTTTCTTTCTAGAACTTGGCCATGAGGTGAGCAGTTTCCTCCTCACGCATTTCTACCATAATGCATTGGGGCACCAGAGGCCCAATGACGCTATGAGGCCAGTAGGTCATGAACTGAATTCTCCAAAACCATGATCTAAACTCAATCTTTCACTTTATAAGTGTCTCAGGTGTTTTGTTAAAGTAACAGAACACTGACAATGAAGAGGACAACAGGAACCTTCCATTTGAAAAATCACCATTCGTAAGATTTCCAAGTTTTGTTCTTCACTTTGGTTTAAAACAACCATGGATAGAGAGTAGAAAATTTAATACTGATTTTAATAGGATTAATTTTTATTTACAATTCAATAAGATAGGTAAAATTACAGAGCTAGTACAAAATCAGTCAAAACAACATTTTGTTCTGTTGTGCTACAAACCATGGTTCCAGACATAAGGACACCCCTGGATTGCGTTTGATGATCTCTTGGTCTCTGTGTATCTCAGAGTACTCAAAGTTGAATTATCTGCTTAGTAAGAGGGCATGGCTTGCAACAAGATAGCAATATAGCTGACTTTGATTGTCTTAGGGGCCTTTAACAATGCACAAGCAAGGTGTGCTTTTATTTTTAACAGCTAATTAAAGGCAATCATTTCTAGGACGGATTTCCCTTTATGCATTAGTACAAATCAGAATCAATTTATATGACTTCTGTCAGTTCTGATTAGCGCTCTCTCCGCAGCTGCTCCAGTGTGTGCATTCAGTAACCCTCCAGAGTAGCATTTTAGTAGTTAGACTTCATTGGGCATTGAGAGAAAATTGAAGTCCAGGTAAGAGGGAGAAGTGGGTTCTTTAACTGCATTTTTAAAAATATTTGCACTCCACCAAAAGTTATTTCATATTCCAAAAATCAAACCATCCTTAAAATTCCCCAGTTACATGAAATTTAAAAAAATTATGAAACAAAACAAATGTTTGAATCAACTGGCAAAGATTCGCTCTGCTAAGAGAACTTCTTTCCAACTTTGCTTCTGTGACCTTGTTTTGAGAAGCTCTGAAATGTAAACGCTGCTCTTAACTATGAGTTCATCTATTCTGAGACTGCTCCAAGCAGAACCACAATTAGAGTTCATGGGTTCATAACAGAAAAGGGTAAAAATAGCAGCTTTGTTACCTCTCCTCTTGGTATGCCCAGACTGACATCTTGCACAGCGGTAGTCTTCCTGAAAATGCTTCCATAACTTTTACTAAGGTTGCATAACACAAGAATGTCTCCGTTGGTCCTTCCTTCAACTACCCTCCTTTGCTCCTTTTCAACATCTATGTCCTTAGCAGACTTGAGTGTGTCCTGCTGGGAAGAGTGGCCCCTGGGAAGATAAAGGCAGAGTTAATTCCCACCTGGGAAAGCGCTGGAATAGTCTGTGTTATACTTGTGAAGAAAGAAGGCAGATCCCTGAGACCTTCTGCTCTGTCAGAGCATCCTAGCCCCATCATCCCCTTCCTTTAACCAAAGCAAATATGTGTTACTACAAGATGCTGAAATAAATCAACACTTAACGTGGCTCTTAATTTCATGGATAATAAAGCCATGCCAGACCTTGTGCTCAATGTAAGAAATACTTATCACACTATTATAAAATATCAACTTTTATAGGTATGTTGATAGCAACCAATTCATATAATAAAATATTTAACAAAATAGATTTTGTATACACCTTTTATAGAAAAGGACTCAAATACTCTAGGTTTATAGTATAAGTTGGATTTCAAAAGAATTATATAGTCAGTCTTTTACACATCTTGCATAATAGTCAACAAATATTTTCCAGAAGAATATTAATCTAATTTTCACTTGTAATTGGGTCACTCTACCATTCTTTTGAGGATTCCCATCTGGCATATTTTAGTTTTTGTATTACTTTTTATTTATGTGTCTATCTATTTGTCTGTGTGTGTGTGTGTGCAAGTGTGCCACATGAGTACAGATGCCTACAAAAGCCAAAAGAGAATGTTAGATTCCTCTCAGTTGTGAGCTACCAGACATGAGTATTAGGAAAAACTTTCTGATCCTCTTAATCGCTGAGCCATGTCTCTAGAACCACCACTACCTGTCATATTTTAACTTCAAAGTAAATTTTCATTTTCCCAGTAAAGTATAATGCGCCTGTATTTTAATGGTTAAATAAGTGCCAACCACTGAATACTGTATGGATTGTCTTCTTTCAGTGCGAAATACTGTGATGCAGTGTATAATCATATATTCACAGAGGAAAGTGGCAAAAGGAAATTTTCTTTCACAATTTCTTTTTGCAATTCTCAAATTATTCCAAAATAAAAGGGTATCACTGCTAAGAGAAAATCTCCACGGTCAGTCCTTGGTCATCCTGATTCGGTACCCTGTATTATTTTCCATATCTGAAATCACTACCTCACAAAACTCCAATTTACTACACACACACCAAGATGATGAAAAAAAAAGGGAGTTAGATTCTCAGAAGGATCCAGTGTCATTTATATAGAATTTGAAAGAAAGTAAAATGAATCAAGGTAGATAAAAATAAGAACAGCAGCTACCCAGAGGGTGGAAATTCAGGAGCAGGAGGGGAGGAAGGGGCCCAGAAAAACATCAGAAGTATTCAACTTATCAATCTAAAATGGATTGCATGAGTTTGTTCATTTTACTAAACTCTATTAAATTTGCACATTTCTGCTTGGTGGTGTTTCCCTTTTCCAGATAAGAAAAGCACACTCTGACCCTCTGCCAGCCAGGTACTGGCAGTTTAGAGGTTCTTTTACTCTCTAATAAATCATGTCCTTATATCCTTCTGTCATGTCACTCAGATTCATGCCCACAGCAACTCACACCCAAGAGGCACATCCATTACTCATGAGGACCACCTGTGAAACTTTATGCGCATCTCCTGGTCTCATCCCCAAAGCTGCCCATCATCTCAGGCTACAGGAGAGGACTGGGCAGCACATTCTTTAAATCCCCTCATTCCATGGGCAGAGGACAAATGTCTAAGCTTACTTCTTGTTGGATAATAGTCAAACAAACTAAGTTCCTAATTCATCCAGCTTTGCTTAACAATGTGCACTCAGTCATCCTCCAATTGCAATACAACAGAGGAAGGATCCAGGCAGGCAGTAGACACAGCAGGCCTTTCCTGATATTCACCACAGCTGATGTCTAGACCAGGTGTTTGTTCTAATCCACCAGCATAGGGATTCAGAAAGCACAGGCCAACTCCAGACTGCAGAAAGAACAGGCAAAATCTCCCCAAAACACTTCTCCTGGCTGCTCTCTGGCCAGGGCTATGTGCTAATAAATGCCTGTATTCTTAGCAGACAAGCAAAGGCAGCAGAGGAGTTGTACGTGAAAGTCAGCATCGCTTAGAGAAAGACAGTGGTGAAATGGGCTCCACAATAGTGTCCAGCTCTGTGCTGGTGACTGAAACACGTTGTTCAGGTGAAAAAGGCTTTTCATTGGGGAGGGGAAGAGGGTCCTCCTATTCTCTTCCAAGAGTCAGCTAGGACTAGCATAACTTTCCTTAGGAGAACTTGCTTAGAACCTTGGGATTTTCATTTTCAGCAATGAATTAATGATTAGGTTTGATTTGGATTTAAATAACACATTGATGCGGACTTACAATCATGGAAACAGCCATAAAGAAGCAGAGGGTTAGACAATGCCTGTGCTCCTTGGCCGTCATACTAGCATAGAAAGACAAAGATGACTTCTTGCTTGGATAGCAAGGACATTATTCTAAAATACTGCTCAATTCATATACTATATGAAGTAAAGGGAGCACAAAAAGTCCTTTCACTGAAGAAGCTCCTTTGATATTATAGGAGGACTGAGCAACCTGGAATCTGCCAGAGGGGATTCTACTTTGCAGATTTTAAACATATTAAACTATTAAGGCTATCACAGAACCAATTAGATTGACAAGGGCCTCCGGATTCTACTTCAAATTCAGCCAACGATTGGAAACCTGCAAATTCCAGAGTAATTATGGCCAAATTCAAAAGAGCTTTGGGATTTGAATTCAAAATGGTTCTCTACTTTAGCAGCCTCAAGGTGCTATGGAAAGAAGTATGTCATGAAATGACTGAAAAGAAAAAAATACATACAAAGGGATCACCCCAAATAATAATACAGCTTTATAATCTGTAATAGCTTTTTAATAACAGCATTTTAATAATTTCCATAAAGAATCCATCCTTTGAGAAGCCCTCAAAAAAAGATGAAGCTATAATTAGATAGGTATTGGAAGGAGGAAAGTCTCTCCCTCAAGCTGAAATTGAAGGAACACAGACAGAAGGAAAAAGATCAGTAGATTCAGTCATGGAGGGGCAAGCACAGCAGCGTGGGCCCTGCACATGAAAGGGCGGTTCTGCCTTACAAATTTCAGTATATTATTGGACAAGATTTCAGAATATTTGCAAGGAAATCTTAAGTTTCATGTATGCTGGTGTGTGTATGCATATGTGTATATGTATGCATATATGTGTATTTGTGCATGTGTATATATGTGTGAATATATGTATGAGTGTGAACATGTATATATGTGCATGTGTGTACATGTGTATGTGTTTATATGTGTGAATGTGTATATGTGTGTATGTGTATATATGTGTTTATGTGTGTATATGTGTAGATATGTGTGTTTATGTGTATGTGTATACATTTGTGTGTATGTATGAATATGTGTATATGGGTGGATGTGTGTATATGTGAGATATTTGTGTATGTGTATGTGTGTGGATATCTGGGTTTATGTGTATATGGTATATGTGTGTGGATATATGTGTATGTGTGTATGTATATGTGTGTATATGTATGTATCTGTATGTTGAATGTATGTGTGTATATGTGGATATGGATGTATGCATCTGTGTTTATGTGTTTGTATGTGTGTAAGTGTGAATATGTATATATCTGTGTGTATGTGTCTGTGTTTCTGAATACCCACAAGATTCTGTACATCTACATACACTGTAACCAGGCTTGACCTCCATCTTCACTTAACAAAGATAGGGAAACAGTCACAGAAGGAATTGCGTCTGGCAAAGTTATGTGATCTTCTGCTCTGAATTTCCATACCTTTCTGCCTCCATGAATTAATGGCATGTAATTCTAGAAATAAATTAGCTTATGATATCAACAAGAGTCACCTCAGATGTTATAAAGTAATAGAAAAATTAAGCAATTACAAAGTGAAAAATACATAGAGTCAGCAAAATAATTGGAAAGATTATCTCATAGGTTGGCACCTTATCTTTTTAAATTCTTCCTGGTGAGTCGGTGACTCATAGCTATCAAATAAAAGGAAACACAAATCCTTAACTTATTAGAACCATACATTATAACAATTAGACACATTTCTTATCCTGAAACCTCTGGATGGAGATTTCCTTCATTGTTTATTCAAGAGCCAATGGTACTAATTAAACTCAAGCCCTGTAGAACACACCTTGACCACCGTAGAAGGTCCCCATGTAGCAGAATCCTCAAGAGGAGAAGAACTGTGCCCTGCAAGGTCAAGTCCACGAAGATCCAGCCCAAAAAATTCATTTCAAAGGGACTCACATAGGAATCAATGCCGAAGTTGTGGGTCAGGTCATACTTGATCTGATTATAGCAGAGTTCTATGAGTCCTTGCCCCAGGCAGAATTGAGGAAAAACAGTAAAGACCCACTTGAGGACATTGTAGATTTTCTGCAAATTCTACACAGTGAAAGAAAAAGAAGATTGCATTAAAAGTCATTTTCATTTTCAAATCATAAACCAATAAATTCCTGTTGTCCTTGGCTGGAGCTATGTGCCAAGTCTTCCCTAACCCATTCAGTCAGAGACACCCTCAGACAGCCATGGAACCGAAGAGAATTACTCTTGATATCTTATATCTGTCTTCCTAGGTTTTACATGCTGGAATGCCGTCCGCTTCCTCCTCCTGATCATTATCACCACCCTCTTCTTCTTCCTCTTCTCCATTTTTGGAGTGGGAATGTGTGTCCTATGTCCATTCCATATATTTGATTTTACAGGTTCACAGCGGGAAGGAAGTTTGCCTGGGATGAAACATGTTTTTGAGTCTCACCCATATCTAAATCAGATAAAATTTGAGTTGAGTTGGTAGGCTTTACAATGTATAGCTGGGCTGCAATAAGTGAACTATTCTGGAGTTTCTGAGGCAGACTCAGTGCAATTGGCCAGTGAAAAAGTCATGAATCTTGGAATCCCAAGGAAGAGCATTAAGGAAGGCATATTATATCACTCCAAAATACATTTGTTGAAGTTTTGTCTCTAATATGTTGGTTTAGATAGTGGGGCCTTTGAGGTAGTTATGGGTACATGAAATCTGAGTAATGAACTTAGTGCCCTAGTAGGAAGTGAAAGGACACTGGCCATTTCTCTCACTCTTCATCATGTGAGATCACTGTAGGAAGGCAGCAAGCTGCAGACCAACAGCAGGACCCTCGTGAGAAACTAAATCTAAGACCACATTGATCTTGGACTTCCCAGGTACCAGAACTGTGAGAAAATAATGTCTGCTCTTCAAGCCTCCTGGTCCATGGTATGCTATTACAGCAACCCTCCCATGGGCAACACGGCAGACACAGTGATGTGAGTATTTCAATGAGTTGGTTATGTTGAAAGGTATGACTGTGAACATTTAAGTAACATGAAAATGCACAGTTTGTTTTTAGCGCACAGTAATATGTTAAAACAGTATTACAGTATTATAAGATGTCACAAGAACAAATATTAAAAAGAAAGAAAACAGAAAGAGATCAAAACAGAATTCAAAGCAAACGTGAAACAGAAGACAGGCTCTGTATTTGAACTCAAACCTTAAAATGAGTGCATCTAAACCTCCTGTAACAAAGATTAGTGTTTTTAACCACCCGGTGATTGCTAATTTTACTTTCCCATGAGGTAAAGATTAGAGCAATGGTGGTTGTTCACTGCAAGCTTTGTGACTTACTGTATGCTTTCAAATCTTAGCATTCCCTACTTCACTCTCCCAATAAATGTACAAGCTACCAAAAGACAAGCATAGGTGCCAAAGAGGAAATATAGTCTTCAGATGATGATTGATGTATACAAGCCACCACGCAGCAGGGCATGGTCTCAGCCTTTCTGGTCCAAAGAATAAGGTCTGCTCAAAGAGAAATGTAGCCTTTGGGGAAAGTGCTGCTCTGTCAGCTAACCTTTCCACTTAGGGCACCTACTGTACAGTGTTTACACCAGGATGGCCACATTAACTAGAACCACCGAACGAAGACCTGAAAATAAAGATCTAGGCTTTCATTTTACAGTCTGTTTTCCAGCTATAAAACTGATCTAAATATAAGCAATCATATTTAATAAAGCAATAAAATCATCCTAATGTGTGCCTATAATACACAATAGGGAACATGTCCATCATAAATATTAAACCTTCAGAAGTGTCAACAATATAATTCATACTGGACAATGCCAGTTTTTCCTTATGACACAGTCTTGAAGCTTGTCTAGTTTAAGTATAATTGTGAATAATTTAGTTTGGGAACAATAGAAAATTTAATAATCGTACATTATCTACTATCAGAATATTTGGTTGCCTTTCACATGAGGTGGAGAAAGTACAACTGCTTATCTCAGTTCTCTCTTAGTTTTTCCTTGACTAACACTAGTAACACACTTCAACCAAAGGGACTTGTTAATTCCACTTTTCATAAAGCTTCATCCCTGGATCACTTTATATTATTAGTGATAGTCCAGGAGCAGCAGAATATTGAAGCTTTTAATTCAGGAATTGATAATTAATGAAGGTGTAGTAGTGGCAATGAATTTATAGCTCATGTTGAAGAATCCACAGTGGTTTCCATCCAAGTGTGAATGAAGATTTTGTGACATGTGAACACTGAATTAATAAAAACCCCACACAAATTCATAGAATGACAATCTCCACTGCTGGGTGTGGGAGGAGTGGGAACTGATGACATGATCATACACAGAGAAACAGAAGCCGTGACTTCTCACCCACCAACACCCTCTAGGTTGCTAGAGAAATCTTCACTCCTGGGAGAGAAATATGTTCCTGACCTTTCATATCACCCCAAGATACATCACTCTGTACCTGCATTTTGATAACAACAAAAACAATCACATTGACACTTCAATACATAATACTAGCTTCTAATCTATAGTCCAGTTGCCTTTATTGATTTCTTTCACTAATCTTTCAAGTATACAATGTTTTTAAACATAAAAAATAAATATTTGAAATTAATTGAAATGAATATTTGAACAATTTTGAGTGTCTTAAGCAAACAATATCACAATAAAGGGCAAATGCAACGACAGCGTAGAGCAAATACAGTTGTCTTTCACTGCTTATTGTCACTTGATGTAGACCCATTTTTTCCAGGAACCACCATTGCCTGTTGACTCTTTCAGGAAAGCAATGCTGTTTATAATTACAGGTAACAGTCCCTTTTGACTTACCATGCTGTTATGCTCTCCTGGATAAAAAGTTTCTGGCTAGTTTCATCTTTAATTCCAGCCTTCCTCTTCCTTGCAGACCTAATTATCCCTCTTCTGTCATCCTGTCCCCCAGGGCTGACCTGGTTTTTGGTTTCTTCCAATTGTATCTATCTTGAGTCTGATTTTCTTTCCACCTTAGTTTATAACATCCACAGTAGTCCATGTTATATTAGAAGTCAATGGGGTGGAGTGGAACCTCTATGCTGCTTCTGCTGACTTCAGTACTTTGCTCAAATTAAAGCCAATTAATTGTTCTGCAAGCTGTCTATTTAAAGGCTAGCATATTAATATAGATTAGTGTCACATTCGATCTGTAAAAAAAGTCACTGAAATAGATCATTGGCCTCATTGAATGCATAATGGATGTTTACATACGCCACGGTTTCTAAGCAAACATGAGACACAATAATAAGAGATAATATCAGCCATCAGCTGAAAGTCTACTAAGTCTGAAACCCAGCCACAAAGAGGGAACCTGTCCCAGTAGGGTGGATCTCAGTCCTCTCTCATTGTAAATGGGATGATCAGTAAATCCTTTGGCTAGAAGCTCTGTATGTTTTCCAGGTGAGTTTCACAGGTTGCAACTCATTCAAACACCTGGGATCTACTGCGTCATCAGAGCACTTGTGAACAGCAGAGTCTTGGGAGCATAGTGCAGAGAGAGAGGAAAACAGGAAACAGGGATGGAGAGGGTTGGAACATGAGAGCTAAGGAGAGGACAGAGTCAAACCCCTGTTTCCACAGTCACAGAGGGGACAGTGAGGGACTGACAGATGTCTTAAGTCTGAAGCCAAGAGTAAGGGTAGCCTCATTATGAAAAGAAAAAGGAAAGGCTGGAAGGAGAGAGTCAGGGAACTAAAGGTATGTCTACAGAAAGGGCTCATCTTGCCTCTAACACTGCTAGGGATGGTATCAAAAAGTGATTGGCTGATTGACTGATTGATTGATGATTGATGATTCATTGATTGATTGATTGATTGACTGGAAGGAGGCAGAAAGTTAAAAGACACTGGGAATGCATGCATTTCCACTGAATTTCAGTAGAAAAGCAACAGTGTTGGGACATAGCCTTGTTAGGGTTTGAATCTGGTGTCCCCCATATGCTGAACACTTGGTCTCCAGATGGTGGCACTATTTTGAGAGATTCTGCCATCTATAGGATGAGGGATCTGGTTGAATGGAGTAGGTCTGTGAGTTCATGCCTTTGATGGGTATGCACAGTTCTCAGTCCCTTCCTCACACTCTGCTTCCTCTCTACCATGAGGTGAGCAGCCTCTTCTTGCACATGCTCCTGGACAGGCCCCAAATCAACAGCAAAGGATAATAGACTGAAAGCTCTCATAAACCATGAGCCAAAATGATTCCTTTGCCTTTAATTGTGTATGTCAGCTGTTTTGTCATAGTAGCATTGAAGAAACTAACATTCTCCTGTCACTGGCAACTTTGGAGATGGGCCACTGCCACTGACTTACCTGGGCTTTGGAAATGATGGCCAAAAGCCAGGGCATGGTGGTCATCAGCATGGTACACAAGCCACAGACAAAGTTCAAGGAGATGTAGGAGATGAAAGCTACATCTGAGCTGGAAAAGATTCTGGACATCAGATACATCCATGGAAGCACTGCATATCTGAAAATCAGAGGAGGACATCATGTTCATTTCCCTGTAACATTTATTTGTATCACAACTGGATTACAGCTGCAATTTTAATAGAACTATAGGCTTTCCTTAGTTTTTGTAAAACATCTCATGGTCTCCTATAGATGAAGTCCCTTTACTGGGGATCCCAATGACCCTGCAAATGGAAGATAACCTTGGGGTCTGGGCTTTCCATCTGACTTTCTGATCGCCTCTTCTTTCTATGGGAGAGTTCTTTACCTTTCAATGATAATGCAGGAATAATGCCCACTTGTCACTATGAGAATTGGAAAATAAAAATCATGAAAATCTATAGAGCTCTCTATCACAATAGACATAAACATAAAAACTGAAAACTTCATTTCTAGAGTCTTGTCCATGCTGGACACTCAGCTGTCCGTGCTGGGTACTGTATCCCTTCTGGAGTGTCCTTCAACCTCTGCACATGCCTCAACTACATGGAAGATAGATAGGGCTGTATGATACGTGTCTTACAGGTGGAGTGTCCAGAGCAAAGCTGACAACTTGATGAATCTGCTGCAGCAGATCTGCAGGTGAAGCTAACCATGGAGGCATGTCAGAGTGGCCCCAAGCCCGGGTGATAAAGAGGACTATTGAATACAGAGCCTTATCACCAGTCTCCATGTGCCTCTATGGATATGAAGTACTAAGAAACACCTTAAACGTCCCTCAAGAAACCCCTTAATTTCTTTCTCCACCTCCTGGCATCATGCTTCATCCAGTTCAGGGCCAACTTCTCTCAGCTTTCTTTTGTGACAGGAAAATGGGGTCACATTAATGTACCTCAGAAAAGGAAACTTGCAGTTTGAACAATGTCTCCAAATTTAGCCTAAGACACTTATTTTGAATCATGGCCTGTCCCAGAAGACTCATCTATTTTGAGCTCCTCCAAGGTTTGTCTCTGCACAGCTGATGTAAACCTGCCATTGCTTCCTTATGGTGAATAACTGTTTTACCTGAGATGCTCTAGTGCCTTTTAAGTGCCTGCATTTTTCCAATAAATTAGCTGGCTCTGAAAATTATGAGACTTCAAAATAGTGTGGAAGGTGCTAAGGACTCATTTTGGCCATATGCAGTTTTTGATGCTAGAATACACTCCTGGGTTAAAAGATAAATTCTCATATTTTAAACTATATGGAATGTTATATATAAAATCATGTAATACTCAGAAACTTCATTCAGTACCAATCTGCTCATAATCTGAGCAAGAAGAATATTTTGTGAAGCACATGATGGCTAGATCTGTTTTAAGGCAATTGTTCTGAGATAGGTGCTATATAAAATAATTAAGTAAAATCAAAATACTACCAAAGAGGTGAGCCATCACTGGTTGGTGCACTAAGCTTTAAACATCTCTTTCCAAAGTGAAGCACTAACCAAAAGGACCAAATCCCATCCCTGATCTCACACACCACTTCCTGCCGTCTCACCTAGGTCAATATTCAATTGCTACCCTCTGTTGCATGACTGCTTCGAGAAGTAAACTACATCATAGCACTGAAAAAGTACTCTGGGAGCCAGGCATGGAGGCACCTATCTATAATCCAAGAGCTCAGGATGTGAGGCAGGGGTACTGACAGTTCAAGGGTAGCCTGGGCTACATAGCGACCCTGTCTCAAAAAGAAGAAAGAGAAAGAGAAGGAGGAGGAAGAGTAGGTAGAGAAAGGAGAGGAGAAGAAGGAAAATGAGGAGTAGGAGATAAATTATTTCTGCAACTGAAATGTATGTAAGCAATAGTACAAGCTTTTGAGTCAAATTTGGGGCCAGTTTCAATCTCTACAAATTTCATTCTGAGATTAAGCAAAAAAATTCTCTAACTTAAACTATTGATTCAAACACTATGTTCTGGAACAACACATTATGAACACTTTTACTTTATACAGACATGTATAAAGAGCTAAAGATAACCATTTTGGTCTACTTAAACCACCACTACAAAAAGATTCAGTCTTTCTTTCATCCTTGTACAATGTGGAGCCCAGCCAGCTCTCTCTGTTAAACTTGGTGATATGGGAGCTAGAGGCATTGTGGGGCAGCGCCTAATGGAGCATATGATGTGGTCAGCACAGAGCATGGTGAGATGATCACCTGCTTTAATGAACATCTGTGTCCACAATGCAGTCTTACAACTTCTCCATCTCCCACTATCAGCCCAGACACCCTGATCTATACTTGAGGGACTAATTACCACTTCATCACTGGTCTCCGCTCTACCTGAGATTGCTTAGAATTTGGCCTTTGCTACATTTTACATAAAGTTCCCATATTGGCCTATGTTCTTTAAATATTTGACAAGTGCATCAAAGCACTGTCTAAGAAAAAAGAATTAGAGACAAAGACGGTCTTAAATGACAGCCCTGAGGACTTCCTTTCCTGCATTAATGAGTTTTTGAGGTGGTTTTCTACAAGATAGGATTCTATGATTTTTTAAAACTACACTTTAACTCCTCTTCTTTCAAATGCTTGGTTGAAATTAACGTATTAGCTAATCCAGTTTTCCTGTCTTTTCTAATTTTTTTCAGGAAAAATTTAAATTGACTTATAGAGCATAATTTATTTTATGTGAAACCTATTGTGACTGTAATACTCTCTACTATTTTATTAAAATAGGACTCATCATTTTAATGATGTTAGAATTCACTTGAGTGTACTGTTCACAAGGATTCTGGAATTTAAGGGAACATATCATGTCTCCCTCTTGAAAACTGACCCCTTCCTTATGCTGTGTGAATTTCCCCTGCAGCAAGCAGAATTCTGTGGTCTTGATTTCACAGTCTCTTAGCACTGCATATGCATCAAATGTGTCCTTAAGTTTATGTTTTTATATAAGCTGTCTTTTCTTTCATATATTTTTAATGTTATTTTTCTATAGGTTTTTTAATTTGTTGGGATGTTTTGAGGCAAAGTCTTACTTATGTAGATCCAGACTGATCTTAAACTTTCTACCTCAGTCTTCTGGGTGTTGGGATTAGAGGTGTAGAAATTCAGTTGGTGTTTCTCTCTGTCTCTCTCTCTGTGTCTCTCTCTGTCTCTCTCTCTCTCTGTCTCTCTCTCCCACACTTCCTCCCTCCCTCCCTCCCTCCATCCTTTGACAGGGCCTCCTTAAGCATCTCAACCTAGCCTGGAACTTACCAGTATATACAACATACTGTCATCTTTTTTATGCCAATTTTGGCCCCTGCCCTGTTACAACTTAAATATCCAATTTCCTTGGTGGAAAAATGGAATATCACTGAGCATTCATGTTCTACCTCTCATGGGAATCAGTTTCCTTATTATATCCCTTATTTTTCTACATCTAATTCAGTTAATAGTTTTGTTTCAAGCCTGAAAGTGTTCTTAAATTTCAGCTCTTTCTGAAGTCAGCCTTCCTGGGATTATGCTTGGGTTCCTGATACCTCAGATCCTCTGAGGGCAAGAAGAAGCAGCCACTCTGACTTCCCCATCCAGAAATAGCTGGGGTGGTTGAGACCAGCTCACCAGGCTGGGCTTTCTTACATTGGATGTCACAGGTTTCAAATTATGCCTGTGGCTCTCACCCAATGATGAAATAACAACCTCTTAAGTCTGAACTAGTGATTGGTCCGCCAGGCATCACACTATGACCTCTTGGCTCTTTCTGGAATTAGCCCAGATTTCAAACACTATGTTATTTCTACCACCTTCTCAGACCCCTAACCCAAGAGTTCCCATCAGGAAGTATACCACCCTTGGGTGTCTTCGACATGCAGCACACACCAATTACTGCCCGGAAAAAAAGCCTGAAATCTGTAGTTATGAACATAGAACAACCCAGATTGATATAAATTAGTAAAAGGATTTACAATCAAGTCAGAGTTAACAACATTTTCTAAAATCACATTGCTTAAGAATTTCTAACCACATAATTTCATCTAAATTTTGTCTTAATTTCTGAAGTCTGATCTTCTAAAATCCAAACATAATTTTATAGAAGAGCTTATTTTACCCAAACACAACAAAACACAACACATACAATCAATGAGATTAGTTAATTGAAGTCAAATAATTAGAACAGAGTATACACACACACACGGCTCTTTATACAAGAGCTCATGAATTTCAAACCCAATATAATAGCCGTGTCTACCATAAGCATGATTTTGCTGATCACATTGTTATTACTACCATTATTATTATTTTTATTGGACTGGAAAGATGGCTCAGGGGTTAAGAATACTGGTTGTTCTTGCAGAAGACCTGGGTTCAAATCCCAGCACCCACATGGCAGCTAACAACTGTCCCTAACTCCAGTTCCAGAGGATCTGACAGCCTCTTCTGACCTTCTGGGGCATTGCACGACATGGGTGCACTTACCTGCATGTAGGCAATACATGCATATATATAAAATAAAAATAAAATATAAAAAATAAAAATAGAATGAAAATATTATTTATTATTATTTTAAAGAATAAGATAATTCTAAGAGGGACTGGAAAGTTGGTTCAGTGGTAAAGAGCACTGGCTGCTCTTACAGAGAACCCGGGTTCAATTCCCAACACCCAAATGGTGGCTAACAACCACCCGTGATGCCAGTTCCAGGGTAATCCAACCCTCTTTTCTGACTTCCGCAGGCATTGCCTGACACAGGTGCACTTACATACATGCAGGCAATATACTCATGCACATAAAATAAAAATAACAGAATATTTTAAAAAGATAATTCTAAATTAATTTAATGATTCTACCAGTTGTCCACAATGTTTCCATAAATTAGCTCATTTGACTGTCAGCAATAATATTAGAGTTTTACAGGACAGAAACTGAAGCTTAAAGAATAAATTAATATGAGCAAGGCCACAGGGTAAGTGATGACATCAGTTCCTGAAAGAATTATCTTTCTTGTCTGCTTATGTATTTTCCCACCTGTCTATCCATCAGCTCATCCATGTATCCATTCATCTGAGGAGCACACACATACACACATACACACACATATCTTTGGACAAGACTTTGTCTCTTACTTAGATAAGTTGAACAATCCTGAATCACTGGTATAATACCAAAGTACACAAAAGTCATTTTAGTTATAACCTTTGGACTAGACCTGGATGCATTGCTTCAAAAAGAAATCTTTGTACATTCATTAGTCTTCCCTACTCTCAGTCTGGGCCTGTATATATTTCTACCTGGCATTTAAAATATACATATTCCTGATAGCAGACAGGGACTGTGTGGGGAACACTAGCAAGGATAAAGTGTATAGAAAACAGAAATCACTGCAATGACTTTGTACTTTTCCTATTTTTCCTCTGAGGGAAAAAGCAATAGAAGTCACACAAAATACTTCCAAGCTACTAATATTATAGGAGAGGCAAAAATATGCCAGACAGCTTCACAGGAGAATCTCCACAAATGCAATTTCAGAGCTAACTGGATTATGTACTTGAGCCCACGATTAATGACCAAGTGACAATAACAGAGAATTCATTTCCCACTGGACAAGTCTGTCAAACAGCTTGACGGCCTTTCTGAGAGAGGACCAGTGCCATCTTCATTATGACCCTGTCATCCCTTCCCTCCTCCTCAGGGCATTCATGATCTAGCTCAAGCTTGTTTGCTCAGCATCCCTTGAAGAAGCAACATAATTGTTTGAGAAGAGAGAAAATCATGAAGCAGGCAGCAGGTTCAAAGCCATCCTGAGGGTTTTCTCTCTCAGAAAACAAACCATAATTCTGTGGTCGTGTTTTTCATCACATACCCGAAAAGTGCCAGCAGGAGAGCCGTGGCCACCAAGTTCTCACGGAAAGTAAAAGCTGTTAACTGGAAGGCGGCTATAATGGCGACACACAGGCAGACGGAAACCAAGTAAAAGAGCTGAAAAGAAAAAGGGGATGTGCTGCATTAGATGGGCATCCTAATCGCTGTCCACTTACTCTGAAGTTTCTGTTCAAGTTCTCCTTAAACATAGCTCCTACTTTGCACATTAGAAGAGTTTTAGACTTCCTCACGGTGGGTCTTACGGGCTTTGTTGTATCCTGCCAAAATTCATGCTGAACATGCAGAACTTCAGAATGCGACTGTGTTTGGAGTCAGAGCCTTTACAGAAGCGAGTGAGTTCAAATGAAGGCTTTGGGGAAGAACTTGGCCACACTACATTGGATTGTGCTCTTAGAAGAGGAGAGACAAAGTCAAGAGAGAATAGACGGATGACCACGTGGAGACCATGTGAAGAAGACACAGGCGAAGCATCAGTAAGTGAAAGAAAGCCGTTTCAGAGAAGCCAGCACTGCCTGCTCCCCAGCCTCACACTTCCAGCTCCAGGAGTGAGAGAGTTTTCATTGCTAAGCACTCAGACTATGGGTACTTTCAAGGAATAGTAGAGTCAACAACTTAACAAAGCCACACTTGTCCATGTCCCTTGGGGGGAGGGGTCAAGGAGTCCAGACACTGCCCCAGAAACATGCCTCTCACACATGTAGAGCCAAGGACATATTCCCTGCCCCGACTTCCTTGTAACGTTTTCTTGAATCACTCCCCACAACCAACAACAGTCCATGCCTTCCTTGGGGTGGTGGCAAGCCCAGCTGAATCTTCTCTGGGGCTTCAGGTCACAGAGCAGTTCCTCGAGCCATTCATGTGGCTGGCTCCTTTTTATTCTTCAGATCTCTGATGAAGTTTCATTTATTATTTTACTTCCCAATTCAAAGTTCCCTCCCCCCGATATCTTCCTTCATTCTTGCAATAGATGTAGTCATGAATAGAGTATATCTGATGCATTTGTGTATATTTATTTTTCTGTTTCTTCCCATAAGATGTAAGCTGTATAAACAGAGGCTTATTCATAGCTTTAGGGATGGCATTGAGTCTATTGGGTGTTTAATACAAACACATAGCCTAGGTAGCTTATAAACGATGGGAATCTATTGCTCACAGTTCTGTAAGCTGAGAAACTTAGGATCATGATACCAACAGATTTGGTGTCTGGTGAGCACCCACTTTCCGGTTCAGGAGAGTGCATTCTTACCATCATGTCAATGGCCTAAGGGTGCTCTGGCATCCCTTTCATAAAGGCACTATTCCATTCATGAAGACTACAACCTATTGACCTAATCACTTCCCAAACATCCCACTTTTTTATTTTATTATTTTTATGTGTATGAGTGTATTGCCTGCGTGTGTGTGAGTGCACCCACGTCGTGCAATGCTGTGGAGGTCAGAAGAGGGCTTCTGATTCCCCTGGAACTAGAGTTAAAGATGATTCGTGGCCGCCATGTGGGTGCTGGGAATTGAACCTGGGTCCTCTTCAAGAGCAGTCAGTGCTCTTAACCGCTGAACCATCTCTCCAGCTCCATCAAACAACCCACTTTTAAAAACCATAACACTGGGGATTAAGTTTGAACACTGCCTGGGGGAGGGTGTGTACAAACGTTCAGTCCTCAGCAACCTTGGATATACTGTGACCCATAACAGATCCTCAAATCTATTCATTGATTGAGTCATTGAACAGAGTAAAGAGAAAGATTGGATGAAAGTAGAAAACAGAGTCAGTCAAGAAGGCAAAAACCCTCCCTGCCCTTAAACTCCAAAGCCACACATCACTGTGCAAAGAATGGACACATTCGGTGTGGAGGATAAAACTTAGTCAATTACGCACAGAGAAAAGATGAAAGGCCAGGGTCTGCAAAGCCTTGGCATCTCTGTAGCACCTGGATATGTGGCCCCTATGTGCTCCTGCTCTCTGATGGTGCACCCTTCCTTTTCCTCCGGGATGCTGTCGCCGTTAGCATCACTAGCTGGCAGCTGTTGGGAACCACCATAGCTTAGTGCTGTGGCACTGGGGACAGAATTGAGCAGGAGGCAGTGAAGGACAGCTTTGCCCCTCCTAGAAGCAGCATCCTGCAGGAGCCTCTGCCTCCCCCTGAATCATGGCTTAGTAAAAATGAGGAGTATGAGGACTAGCACTTCTCAATCTTGTCTGAGATTCATGAATCACCTTAAGTGTTGACTAAAGGTGGACCTTAGAGTCCCATTCACTGTAAATAGATGTGCTTTCCTTGAGGGAAACCCAAATTAAACTCAACAGACTCCTCATACGTTAAATCACCTTAAGTCTGACTCATATAAACTATATACATAAAAAAGTCTAGATTACAATATCAAAGCTTATTACAAGATAAGCTAAATTCTAAGCTTGCTCAAAGGAGTAAACATTGCATAAAAGCAACATGTTAATACATGAATTCTATACAAAACATATCACAGATGGTGCAGAAGTTGATAAATGACAGGTACTCAGTTGGGGTCAGGCCTGTCCTGCCTTCTGCTCACATAGGATTTTCCACATCACAGGATGAGCTATACTTATGAGAGCAGGAGGGCAAATACATTACATTTGTACAAAAAAGGCAACAGTGCTCCACACTGATGACAGGAGTGTAGCTGTCAACGGATACTGTATCATAGTACTTGTGTTGAAAATATCTGGCCTAAACTCTAGGGAGCAACTCAATAAGGCCTCTGTTGCTGTCACTGCAAGAACAGGAAACAGAGTCATGGAGTTAGGGGTCTACACTGCAGGAAATGCTGATACTTGCTGCGTACACCAAGGAGGGGCTTGGGTCCGAGAGAGGGGGTTAAGGATACAGATGAGGAATTGTTGCTAATAAATTGTATCATTTCACTTTCCAGCTCTTCAAAAGATCATAATGAAGTTTCCCTAATTTCCCTAGTAAGTGCAGAAAAGACTGCACTTCTTGAGCATTCTTTGATTTTGCAGAACTCTAGCCCACAATTCCTGAGTCTTCCCTTCATGAACAATCCTAAAGGCTCAATGCTCAATAAAGGCAACTTGATGATTCCCACCCAACAGAATGACTGCTTCTGTTGTGGACAGTCCCAGGTGGCCTGGGCCCTTGCACCCCTCACACACGGACCACATTTCCATATCCTACCATGTCATACAGGAAGTTAGTCAGCCAGTATGTCCTATAGCCAAGGCCACTTATGTGCTGCAGCCTTTTGGCTCCAGTCACTCTGTCTCTCACCACAGAGCTACCAATTGATGCTGACAAGATGGAGAATCCCAGGACGATGCAGAGGGCGACACCACACTGGCGGATGCTCTCCAGGCTGTGGGCAAAGGAGAAGAGTTCATCAGATGTCACAGGAAGAAGTCTGAGCTGATATTCCTCCTGTTACTAAAACTGTGGGAGGAGGATGGCCAAGTACATAGCATTAATGTACAGATCCCTCCCTCATTCGGTCACCTTCAAAGCTTTTGGAGAAGTGGGTTATCGTTCAGAGCTTACAGAACATAGAACAAGACAGAATAGACAAATGTAAAGCTGAGGGGCATTTGGGCATCTCCTCATCTCAGTCTGTTCTTGATCATGGAATCTGCTCTCAGTTAAAATCAGAAGCTCTTTCTGATTAACAACAAGGGCACCCTGAGACTTTGTCTCCTTTGAGACTCATTTGTACATACTGTAAAGCAGAACCCCCTGGGCAGGGGCATTTTCCAGAACTCCCTGCTTCGCTGGCCCTCTCTACCCCCCCCCAATATCATAACCAGGTGTCACTGTAATCACAAACTGTGTGCACTTTCTCAGACAAGTGTGTAACTGGAGCTCTGAGAATATCCTTTCATCATGTCAAGTGTTGCCCCCTGTCCTCTCTCCACCTCTGAGAACAGAATGTGGGAGAGGGTAAAATGCAACCCACCTTCACTGTATCATTGATGGTTTAATAAGAAAATACCCAGTAAAATAATGCTTTCTTTGTCCATTTTTAACCAGGTGACTGTCCATGATTTACAAAAGGTGAGGGAGAGAACAAGAGTAGAAACAGGGTACTTAGTAACAAGGCAATGAGACCTAACACATCCGAAAAGCACCTGCAACTACTCCACAGACCTCCACCTGCACTTCCTGTGGACTGTGAAGAAAGTCTCGCATGAGGAACGTGCGGGGAGGCCTGCAAGGTTTGCCTGTGTGCATGCCATGTTCATGATGTTAACCTGAAAGGCTGTCCTGGAATGTGTGCACTCCATGGCTGCAGGAAACTTTCTTAGACAACTTTTTGATGGAAAAACAGCTGAATGATATTCTCATCCATTTTCATCTCAGCCACTGAACCTCCCCTTTAAGCTATCTATGCCAAGATCTCTCCTGACAAATGTTAAAGATGGATCAGAATCATCCCTCAGAGACTCAAAGATTTTCTTCTGTAGTTAAGGGTTCCCTTTCCCCCAGGATTCCTTCAACTCACATCTTGTCTTCATTCAGCAAGGCCCCTCCATACGGGTGGCTATACAGTGTTATTCCTGTGAACAACAAGATGAGAAGTGAGTTTCATGACTTCTCCCACATGCTGAGTCACAGCTCTCTCCAAGTCACTCTGCTGCCTGAGCTCATGACGTGTCTCCTTTGCTCTGCCCACCCAAGCCCACTGACAGCAACAAAGGGCAAATGCCGTCTTATAATTCAGCTGGTATGTGCTGGTATTCTTGCAGTTACCTCTGTTGTCAAATATCAACATCATATATTTTACATGAATTATATGATAGGTAGTGTCCCTTTGTTACCCAGTTTATAGTCAATTGTAATTATTCTAGTACCCTAAGTAATATATCATTGTACATTATGTTAGGGGAAATGGACTCAGGCTGAACAAATACAGGAAAAAGAGACCACTTGATAGAAACCAGGTCCATACTCAAATCACCTTAGAGCACGCCAAGTCTAGACAGATAGAAAATTGACCATTTTCTCAGGTTAATTCCTCTTTTGGAGATTTTTGTTTTGCTTTGTTTTCTTTCATAGGTTTGTGCATTAGAGTAATGCCAGTCGTCAATAAGAAATCACCACCAAGTCATCAAATAGTAGGACTTTATCATAAAGTTCTTCCAAGTGTTACACGGCATGCTGCCCCTTCCTCGATAAATCTCCATTGACATTGTGTCAAAAGAACCCCAGTACTTCAGCAAATGATTTGTGCTTCATCTTAAGGGCACTTTGAACTCTAAGAGGAATTAGATTTCCATTTCAAATATTTGGAGCTAAACATGGGGCTTGTGTGTGGAGACCAATGCCATAAGCACAAAGTCTTTGATTCCTTTCATGTTGTGACTGTTGAAAAACAGTTCTCTTTCCTGACTCATTTGAAAGTTATCCTGTAACCTGTATAACAATATTCTTTAATGAGGGAAATCTAAAATCTTACCAAAATATCATGGGGTATTAAGTAGACACAATGAATTACCATCACAGTGTTGGACTGCATCATAAGACTCTCAATCCCGAAAATTCCACACTGACTTCTGTCTGTTTGCTGCCTGTACCACTCCTACCTGCTCCAGCCTTTTTAATTTTCTTCCATAGTGGGATTAGCCATTCCCTAAGACAAGCCCTGCTCCATAACAGAAAGAGTAGTAGAAGCTATTTGTTCAGAAATTTCCTTGCACAATTTCACAAAACAATTTCTGTGACTGTAAATTAATATTGTCCATATACTCCCTCCCTCGTACCCAACTGTGACAATGGGCCTAAGGTTTGCCATGTGGTTCCCTAGTTCCTGGAACTGCATATTCATTTATCAACCAAATTGCATGGAGTTGGTTACTTGACTGTCTGGACCAGTAACACCCACCATTCTTTCTCCTGTCTGTCTTACCCTCTCTAGATGTGATGACCAGCCTCACTGTTCACCATACTTCCTTGTTGAAGTGCTAAGTCACTGGCAGCCAGAATTGCACTTGATGAACAGCTTCATATGACCAGCCCTGCCCAGCAGCCATACAAAAGTCATGTGACTTTTCAAAAACCGAGACCCTGATAAGCATGGCAGGTATCCCTGGGGTGCTACAGACAGTGGGAATATATTCCAGTATTGATGCAATTCTAGATTCTGCCTACAAATGAGAATATTCTATATTAGAAAAAAAAACATGAAAGTATGGTTAACTGTGTAGAGTTCTGAGAATTACAGAATTTTAGACATACAGAAGAATACTTGAAATTTTAAGCATAAGAAAATGCATGCGTACACACAACTGAGACAAAGGGGCATATTAACATTTCTTCAGGTAGTTAAAATATTATGTATAAGAGTAAGTAGGCATGGTCTATAATGATTTTAAAGCAGAAGCTGGTTCAGAGAGGCAAATTCAAAACATAATGAAACCGATAATGAGAGGATTAGAACATCGAATCTAGTCTAAGCTTTGGGGCAAAGACAAGGTTGGGCATTGAATTACATAGCTAGTGACTTATTCAACCAACCAAATGTCAATAAAAGTCTAGACACTAATGCCCACTGGAGTTTCTGGCTGATGAACAGGTAGATTCCCTGGCAGGGTACCTGCCTGATTCCACAAGCATCTTCCCCAACCTCACTTGATGCCGTTCTGTTTGGCTAGTCATTCTGATTTTTATTTTTAAAATAAAACCACAATGGTATGCCTAGTGTCTTCTCAAAGTCTATAAGTTATTCTAGCAAATGTGGTTATGGGAACCTTGAAACCTATAGCCAGCCTGTCTGAGAGAAGATGGCCTCAGGACCCTTGAAGTACAGCAGGCATCTGAAAGAATGGCAATCTTGTTGAGAACCATGCCCTTTCGATTTAACGGGTATAACTGAGCAAATCAGTGATAGACTGGCTGAATTCAATGCCTCAACCCTCTCTCCTGAAGTTGAGCTGACTCAAAGGTTCTCATGTTTAATACTATTTTATTGTATTTTGCCTCCTTGGATCTACTTTTCCCTCTGAAAACAATGCTACTTTGGTTTTTGGGACCTGTGCTAATTCCAGATAGGCAGTGGCACAGCTGAATACCAGCACATCCAGTGTCTTAGTTAGTTTTCATTGTCAATTTGACACAAACTGGAATCACCCATGGAGAGAAAACCTCAATTCAGGAATTTTTCTAGACCAGATTGGCCTGTGGACATATCTGTGGGACCTTTTCTTGATTGATAACTGATATAGGAGGTCCCAGCTCACTGTGGGCAGCACCATCCCTAGGCAGGTGGGCCTGGGCTGTATAAGAAAGTTAGCTTAGCATGAACCAGTGAGAGAGTGAGCAAGTCTGTAAGCTGTACTTCTCCATCACTTCTGTTTTAATTCCTGTCTGACCTTCTGCTCTGACTTCGCTCAATGATGGATTCTGACCTGGAAATGGTAAGTCAAATAAACCCTATCCTCCCCAAAGGCGTTTTTGGTCTTGGTGCTTATCATAGCGACAGAAAGAAAACCACAACATCCATCTAGCTGGACTTGTCTCTTCATATAGGCTTGACTAGAAGACTCCTCTGGGCTCCGTCTTCATCCCATCTCTTCACAACGGGTGTTCAAGTTTTCAAGCTCTGTGACTTTCACTTCACCTCACACAGTGTCACAGTGCTCACGCTCACCTGCATCCTGTCTGGGTGGCCCTAACTCACATCATCTCTAAGTCCACCTCTTCCCAAGCTCAGAGTGTACTCCAGCCCTAACAACCTCGAGACTATCCAACAGATAAAGAGAAAAAGAAAGAGAGACAAAGATAGAGAACAGCACATTCATATCCTTACCTAGACACAGGTTCTCATTAAAATAAAGTTCAAACTTCTCCCACTGATCCCATTTGAAAAAGGGGATTTCTGTCGTCTTCCTTAACCCTCTCTACTGGTGCATTTTACTTTTTCCTTCAACTTCCTTGTCCAGGCCACACTGACATCTCATTCCAATTTCAGTTCTATTTCAGAAATTAATTTCCTTGTTTGAAATCATTATTGCATTGTCCTGATTTATCAAAGTATAATTGACAAATAAAAAGTATCTGAAGCTCATCCCTGGCTTAGCCTGGCTTCATTTAGGAATTTTCAATGTACCCAGTAGAAATCATACTTCGAGTTTGAATTTTAGTCTCTTCTGGCTGAGGACATTTGGTACCACGCTCTGATGATACTAGCCAGCTGTAGTGTCGAGCAGCAGCTCCAGGTCAGCCACATGATCCATCCTCCACAACCCTGAATTGTAAAATACTGATCTTTAGCCCATTAGTTGTATTATATGAATTTCTCACTTGCAATATTTTCAACTTATAATGAGTTTAGCAGGTCATAATTCCATCATTAAGTCCAGCTGAGTCTGTGTTTAAGGCCTTCAGTATCACTTTTAATATGTATATACAACGTGAATGATTACCACAGTGAAGCTAATTAGCATATTCATCATTCCTTTTACAGTGTTGATGGGAATGCAAATTAGTGTAACCATTATGAAAAGCAGTAAAAAGAGGTGCTTCAAAAACTTAAAACTAGAATTACCATGCGATGCAAGAGTACTATCAAACGATTGGTGAGTTATAGCCAAAGGATCCAAAATCATATTGACAAGACACCTGCACACCATGTTCACCCATATGTTATTTTCAATGACCAAGATAGGCCTACAGTCCTAGTGTCTCCAGACAGATGCACTAAATGTGATGTTTATGGACATATATATACATATTATATATATATATATGTGTGTGTGTGTGTGTGTGTGTGTGTATCTACACACGTACATCTACATGTACTATAATATTCAGCCACTTTTTAAAGAAAAGGAAATCCTGCCCTTTGCAACAACATTCACAAAGTGAGTATAATATGCAAATTAAATAAGCCAGGTACAGAACACTAAATACTTCATGTGGAACTTTTAAAGTAAAACTAATAAAGCATTATGTGGGAAGGTGTTCATCAGGGGCCAGAGTTGGGGAGATGTTGCTGAAAGGGTACAAACCCTCATGTATGAGATGAATGAGTTCTGGGTCCTGACATACAGCATGGTGACTGGAGAAAATAATAAGGTATTGCTTACCTTAAATTCAGTAAGAGTAGATCATGTTTTTATCACACAAACTTACAAGAAGAGGTGAGATCAATTAGCAGAGGTAGGCAGATGAGTATGAGGAAGGGACAGACACTGCTCAGATATAAATCCCTACAGACTTGTGAGCAGAGAGAAGTAGCTGACGCCCAAAAGTAAACTATAGAAATTCCTTCTCCATGGATTCTACACTGACAGTGTCAACCACACATACATCGAAAACGTACAGGTAGGAAAAACTGCATCTGTGGTGAACATGCACAGGAATTTTCCTTTGTCATCACTCCCTAGATAATGTTCTGTGGGACCTGTTTGACAACATTTATATCGTATTGGGTATTTTCTATTATCATGAGATGATTCAAAGTGGATGTGGGGATGTGTCTGTGTTACAGTCCAGAACTACACTTAAGTCATTTTAAGTAAGGGATTCATACATCTGTGGATTTGGGCATCTGTTGGGG